AAGATCCATTATGCTACGCGCTGCAAAGTAATGTACATGAAGACAGTTTCACAGCAAATTACCAAGTAATGTTTTAATAATAGGGTCGTGTTTTCATAATTTCGTTGTGGCCATGAAGTATACTAACACATAATTTACTATTTCAATCGAGCTTATTTTTAAACTTAAATAATGTCTACGAAACACAATGTAAACAAAAGCACATCCTGATCTAGGCGATTTATTTTTACTAGATCAATCTCGTCAAGTTCTTAGGTTTCCGCCATTGCTACACTTAGGAAATGAAACTATTTTTCCGGATTTAAATCGCGTATATTTGTTTTTTCAAAAAAACTAGGTTTGTTATCTAGTTCTAGGTTTGTTAGGTCAGGTTTGCTATCTGTTAGCTATCAGTCTCGTCAAGTTCGGCAAAAGACTAAATCATCTAAACAAAAGAATTAGAACAATTTTGTTAGTCCATTAGCCGGCTAGAAATACGCAAAAAACTTCCGTCAAAAAATATCGTAACCAAGTGTAAAATAATACTTTAGCTGTTGAAAGTGTGTAAAAAACATGTGAGGGTATCGTAAGTTATCTATAGACAAAGATTTTTTTTTTCACAATCATAGCCTCACACTAAGGAGACCCTGTATCGCGGGTGCCGTGGATATATACATAGACAACCACAAATTATACTTTTTCACGAGAGAAATAAATATAGGCCATACAAATATAACAGTTTTAATTTTCACATACATATAATTATTATACATTTTGATTACATCCAAATTATTAAGAACGCAATAATTGCTGGCACGTAACAACACGAAACTGCTTACAATACAAATTCCCGCCGTGTCATTACAGCCTGTATGCCTAAATTATATCGAAACAGTAACAAAACTCACTTTCGAAAAATTCAAGGTAGGTCTAATTTGCTCGAATCTGGTGCAGCTGTAATTGACGACATAAAATTTTATGAGATCTTATTGAGAACGCACGCAATGAAAAAAGGAGCAACAAAATGATCTGCTTAGTTGTTGCCTCGTGTAGCGACTGTGCTTTTAGCGTTTATTGTAGAGAAAATCTGTGGCAATTAATAATGATATCATGTCTTTGACATCCACGTCGCTTTGTTAAAATCTAAAAGGCAACCTTCCTCTGTCATACTTTGGTAAATAACACAATCTACGTTGTTAATACTCGCCTGTGCGTGTAAGATACCTTAAGATTTATATTTTTGTTTGCAGTTCGGTTGTCAATGAACTAACTCAACAACAACAGTACCTATAAATAAGTCGACCTGCTATTTACTTATATATTGACATATATCAAGGAAACATCCGCCCCTGAGTTAAGCTCAGGTGTGCCATTAACACTTTTTTTAAATCAAGAATATAAAAATGGTACAAACCAGGCTTTGCGATCAAACCTCTCAAGACTTTTCATAACTTTTCGTGTTGGCTCAACATATTTAATTTTGCAGTTTTATTGCTGATGCAAAGATCGAACAAATACAAAGAAACATTCCTTCGGTTCAGCTTAATACGAACCTGTACCTGTTTGCCAGACTGGGGCTAACAGCACTCCTTATTGAGCTACGGATAATAATATAATAAGATAAAAATAAGCAATAACAACACCAAAGTAGTGAGGTATTTTCACAAAACAAAAATATATATATCATAGTAATAGAAACTTGGTATTCAATCAAAATAAATATTTCACAGTTTCTATTTAATATCCATGCTCTTAGAGTTGATATTTTATCAATAACAAACACTTAAGCAACCATTTCCTTCACAGACAACATTGGAGCTCCACGAGCTGGAGCAACGCAGTTTTCGTGGCCACACAAATCGTGAGCTTTAAACTCCGTAATAGCGAAGGCCGTAAGCAATAATTTGCCGTCATTCTACACACATTACCCGATGTCCGACAAAGCCTCGACCTCGTTCCGCGTCTTCTTATGGTCATTCGATATTTGTTTAAAATTTAATGTGATTATTTTCTTTTGACGAGAGAACAGTTGGAGTGATGGGCTGCAGGAAGCTTTTTGAGTTGAGCAAGAATGCTCGAATCAAGTGTTCGCGTTTATAAGAACTGTTAAATGTTTTAATATCGAGGGTCCAACGGGTGAGCTAATCTGCACTTAAGAATGAAAGTAAAATTGTATTGCAAAAGTAATCATCGCGTTACAAACTCTGAACTTCAAAATAAGTTGCCTCCAAGTGATTTTCAGAGGTTAGCTTTATTTAATGATTTTTAACTACATGTCAGTAACGCCGAGTCAGAACCTTGTAATAGATTTAGGTATATTACAACGCAGGCAATAGGGAATCGGACATCTTTTCAGAAAGTATTTGAAATTAACCATTGTGGATATGTACAGCCTGGAAAGGAGTTTCGGGTGCACTAAAGTAGCCTCCTCGCAATTATCTCCCACACCTCAGCACGGCGCCTGCTACCAGCGAATGCGATTATGCGTAATGCGAATTCTCATACTGAAGCGAAGGGGGTACTATGGAAACGGGACAGAAAATTTTAGTTAAAAGTATATTTATTGTTATAGTAAAAATATATTTTTATTTGTTTTTAACGTCTCTTTCGAGTATATTACACCTTCCAATATCTATCCAATATCTATGATTACACCCAAATAAACACTTTTTATTCTTATAATTTTTCGTCTACGGCTAATAATTATCGAGAAATTTGGCGAAACAAGATTACTTTTAAAAGAAGGGTAAAAAATTTTCTGTCTCGTTTCCACAGTGCCCCCTTCGTTTCAGTATGACCGAATTCGCATTACGCATATACGTATTGCTTTTTTTTAATAGATAATAAAATATAAATTACGTATGAATGAAACATTTCACAGCAAACAAAACATTTGGTTAATTTGTATAAATGTATAAAACATAGCCTGTTTTTTTCTCACTATACACTTAAACTGAACAAAATAAATAGAATTATATCAAGTGACAAAACCACCAAAAAAGCCATATTAGAAGACAGTGGGTCTACTCCTTAAGGACAGAAAAAATAAGTCTACTCAAAACAGAAAAAATTGGTACGTGGCCTGCGAGACAAAAAAGTTTGGGTACCTCTGGGTTTAGCGAACAAGTCAATTCAATATCTCCGTTAATTTATAATCGCACAAGCAATGGCAATGCTCTGATGAAGTGCTCTTGAGGCATATTCACATTTCGCCATTGACAACTAAATATATAAAAAACCGGATATTATTGTTAGGCATGAAATTCCTGTCAGCTTAGAAAGTCATTATAAGTGTTTATTGACAATTTATCACCTGGTTAGCCTCGCACAAATGGCTGTACAAATACATGAAAATAATAATTTCACAATTTATGTTCAAATAAACACATTTATTGGGACATTACAATTTATTGCTCACCGTTATTGAACGGATTTCCTTTAGTTGAAGTTTAATAAGAAAATGAGACCATTGAAAAAATCAAGTACGCCTCTTTAATGCATTGCAGATATTAAACGCTATATTTGGTATAATAAGCCCCCATAACCAGGTTTCTGCACACAGAGAGCTATTGTTATTTTTCTGTCGTTTCAACAACTGATCAAAGAAGGATGGCGACATCCCGTGTTATTCGTGACCCAGTGTTTTTGACGACGTGCATTAAAAAAGTCTTCAATCACAAGTATTGATAGGTTATCAATACTTGTGATTCATTGTCGTAGCATCAAAAAAGTTCATTGAGTACAGCCTGTAGAAGCTAAGGGTTATAAAGTTCATGTAGGTAATTTTTATAACATTGTCCTATGTTTGTTCGCAGTAACAGAAAACAACAAGTTTTCAGTTTGTTCCCAAAAATAATAAAGAACTTGCTGAATATTCCCGGCCATATTTTAGGTATTTGATAGCTTTAACATTTTGTACGTGTACTATAAAACAATCAATACTTCAGGAAGGTAAACATTGAATCACGTTAATGAAACGTATGTACAAGAACGTTACACAATCTATTGTCGAACTGCATCAATTCCAATTGAAAAAAATTATAAAATACATTGTTTTACAATTACTTTATTCCCGACTTCTAAAAATATACAAATATATATTGATAACTAGGGGTAAACTAAAACGCAAAATCATACTAGCAAAGTGCATGAACGGCTCGTCGTTGATTTTAATTATTATTGGGTCAGCTTTCGCCGTCCATCTTTATCCGTAGCTTTTATGTACTCAACAATACACATAAACAACTACAAAAACATAGGCCTTTAACATAGGTTTACTTAAAAAACGTGTAGTACTTAAATTTTTACGTGAATATTTTTCGCACACTGAGAATGATAACGTCACTATAGAAAAAACTATATTTTTTTTATTTGTAACGCCATCTTGGATTTGGGAGTACGAATTTACAATGCAAAAACTCCCGTGTACGTTGTCTGCCTAGAACTCGTTAGATGATATAATGAAGTTATGCTGTTCAAGGGACCGGGGCTTAGGAGCACGTTACCTTTATTCTTTTGGTAGTTCGCTGAGTTGTCAAACAATTTACTAACTCCGTGAAGGATATCATAATTTTTTGGATGTCCTTTGGCATTAAGGCTAATATAGTACAGGATTGCTGAGCCCGGTCTACGCCGGTTTATGGAAAAAATCTCTAAAGTTATACTTTTATTTTGGAAAAATTAAAATTGAATTTCGTAACATAATTTGTTTTAATGAATTCTTTATGACGACATTCCATAATAAGAAATGTTTATTTACATTAAAAGCTTATGACGACAAATAGTGACACTAAACGAAATTCGCAAAAAATGCCTTTATTTTATTGTGGTAGGTGAAAATTTATGTATTACTTCTAATACTATGTAGGTCCCCTTTTATTGTTGCTAAAAATCGCATTCAATAATCTTTGTTAAGTAAGAAATTGCAATGATCACAATTTTGCTCATTACTCAAAATCGAATATTTTGCATTGGGTCACTATCGTTCTCAGTGTGCGATTTATGTATGTATTTTGACTTACTTCATCTTGGAAGGCCCTGTGCAGCGTGTCTCTAGTGTACTTCTGATCTCCTTGTTTCAAGATGGCTGAGCACTGCTTGAGCAGACTGACGCGCATGCGCTCTCGAACGCTTTCTTCTTCCATGAATGACATACGAGGCCCGGTGCGCGGCACGCCCAGGATGTCCTGATATCCAGGAAAACAATTCTTTACTATACCAAGGTTGTGTTGTTGTCGATTGCATATGTTTAATTCCTTTATTTCGCAATAAAACACGCCCTTTCTAGATAACTATGAAGTTTTATTCTCTGCCTAACCATGATGCTACTTGATAATGCGGTAGGTACTCTAAGCTCTCGAACACAATCTTAGCTGATGGTAACAAAAAAGCGGAGCGTGCTCGCCCAGAAGCTCATTTATTCTGATGGATTTTTAAATAATAAATTTGCAATTTAAAACTCGAATTTTTTTCCGAAATAACGTTTGTTCGAATTTCCATTACACCGAAAACCGAATTATAACGAAACCCGTCGTTGAATTATAACGAAACCCGTTGTTCGTTCAAGCTATGTTGGATGTTTATCGTAAAGACACGATTAGGTTCAGATAGGTTAGGTTTAAAAGAAAAAACATTTTCCTCTCAAAATTACTTTCGAGGATATGAAAATTCGAGCCAACGTTATTTCTTGAAAATGACATTTCGGGCTACTGGTAGGTAACCGATATATTCATAGAAACCATCCTTTTTAAAGATCATGGCCCACCATAGTACAAAAACTATAACCACGGCGTACAGAAATGACTTATTGCTAGGTTTATGTAAAAATATGTGTAATGGTATATTTTGCTTTATTGTGGGTACTCGGATTTATGGAATAAAAAAATGTATTTTTATCTAAAAAAACGTATGTTAGTGCAAAATATTTTTGGGTTTTGTATTTATTTTTGATCACCCAGAGAACGATTTCGGTCTTATTCCAATTACAACTTACTGAGCATACTTATCGTGCATGAGTATGATGATATTATTTTGACAGAATATCTGACAATAACCTAATTAGGGTTTTCACATAATTAAAAATATGTTAAATATCAAATCTTTATTGCCCTGTTACACGTTAACCCAATTTTAATTAACAATTAACGTCATTAATTATTTTACATAAAATAAAAAGTGATTTGTAACTGCATAATTTAAAACTAATATGGTTTTTGTACGCAAACATCCATTAACCGGGGCAGATTATGGTCCATGAACTTTACCACCATAACAACTTTACCGAAAATCCTTTTCAGCTATTTATTACATACGGAGACGTGGCTGCTTGTCTCTCAAATGTATAACGACACCCCCTGAAAGGCGCTTTCGTACTTTAAAATCATTCTATCATTATAGTAATTGTCTATCTTTCTTTCTTTCTAAATAAATAAATTATAAAACATGCCCTTACCTTTTTCGAAACGTCAAGTTTCCCATTTTCGACGCCATCTTTTTTTTCAAACTCTTGTAGTTTAATTCCGTTACTTTCACTCTTCGCGTTATCGATACTGTCCACGCTAATCGTTATATTTTTACTGAGTTCTTTATCGTCGGTAACTTCGATGTTGGGGGCTTTTTCATTGTCACTTTTTGGTTTTTCTTCCGTTTTCCTATGATTGTCTATGGCATCCTTTTGCATCTCATGTTTAGCAATTCCGTTTTCACTTTTTGTCTTTTCTTCCGAATCTTGAAAATGTATTTGCTCATTTTGATCCGACATCTTTGCTATTTTATTCACTTCGACATTTTAATAACGGGTTTTTTCTTACATAGTTGTTAATTTGGTTCAGTTTTACAAATTCTATAAAAGTTTTATAGTTTTACTCTTACTATCAAATCGAAATCAAACTTTTTCGAGATCGCTTGCCAATTTATATATAAAATAAGGCGTATATCACCTGGGTGGTCTCATGTTATATTTACGATACGACATTACAATTTTTTACGGAGATCCAGTTTTTGTGTCACTAAAAATGAATAATGGCCGATCTCAATTTTATTATATTAACAGTAAGATACGTCAAAATACAATTTTTGTCAATTTGTTATAGAGAGGGATTTAAAAATGTTCAAATATTACATTAGAGGTCTAAGCTACCAACGTTACGTTTGAATATAAATTTACTTTGGAAATACGTTCTCGTAACACATAGTTTTTTTAAATTTACGCCGCACATTTTTGGTCACTATTTATGAATTTGACTTTAAAAAAAATATGTGCAATATGTTCACAAACTGTTTCTGCCTGAATCGGCATCATCGGCCACTGCTGGACATAATCTTTTCTAAAGAAAAGTAGTCGGAAAATAAGACTTAGGTACGTAGATTGATTTTAAAGCTTTTTTTTGTCAGTTGTAATTTTGCATTTACGTTTTGATAAGAAAAGTAATAATTTATAAATGATGCCTAAAAGAATTTTGTTATTTTCACTTGAGCTTAAACAGTGAGTTAGAGGGAATACAAAAAAAAGATGGCGTTCACGCATTTTTCAAGCTTGGATATTTGGACGATTTTTTTATTGTAAATGTGAATTACACAGTAAATAAAATTTACTCAAGTTAAGTGGTTGCTTGTTACTGAATTTTAATAAAATATATAAGATTAATGAGTTGTACTGGTGGTAAGGTGCTTTGTCTGTGCAGAACCGGATGAGTTCTACCACCCTACCTACTTTTGCCGCAAAGCAACACTTCTGTGGTACAGTTGGGAGAGCAGGGAGAACTAGCGCTATCACGAGCCCAGAAGAATTAAGATATCATGACCCAGGGCAGGCAACACTTGCCTTATTGAGGGTAAGTCTAAATAATAATTAAATAGGCAGTGGTAACCATTTTTATAGCTGTTTTATTATAACTTGGTGACTCTAGTACTATTCCATCACTGTGATAAAGGTGATAATAAAAATTCCGAAAAGTAAATGAAAAATAAGGTTATTCAAATTATAAATATTACTGCGTTGTTTACTAAGCCATCGAAAATTTTTGTGCAAGCGAATGAATTACTGAAACTTTCGAAAAATCTTACTGACGTAATATTTAATACTTGAGCGAGTGAGTGAGTGTGGGTTTATTAGTATTTGTGCGTGTGGGTCTGGTTGTGTAGCTGTGAGGATGATGAATGTGTGTGGAGAACAAATTACCGTTTAAATAAAATGTGATAATTGAATCTGTGTTCATTTTTAATATGTTTTAATTCGTGTCATGTGACATGTTTAAAATGTTTATTATTAGTATTTGCCTATACCTGCATCTGTCTCAGGCTTAATTCATATATTCGCGGGACGGAATGGAAGCCAATTTTTATAATCATAGCATAATGATATTTATGCTCATTGCGTAACGTGCAAACTAGATACGAGCCAAAAACAGGTTCCGCGTCTTTTAGAGAATTCTCACACAGGCTCGGGAATTTCCGCAGCTATCGTATCCTATCCACTTTATACGTTGTACGTTACAAAAATTCGCTTATATTCCGCTGTAATGTAAATTAAATCTTGAGGCGAGGTATTTCAACTCGAGCCTACATATTAAGAGGTGAAAGATAGATTTTTTTATTCTTAAATAATTCGTTTTAAGTTTTATTTTTGAACCTGTTTTCAAAACTTTTATATGTTCTAGTAAAGTACATCCTATCACGTGACGAAATAGCACATTCTTTAGACTATATCCTTATGTATATTTTTTGTAAGATCATTATTTTAATAGTAAGTAGTAACCATTTGATCTTGCTAAACAATTTTTCCCGTTTCTCCTGTGATGACTCGCCTTATGACATGATTGTTCATGAAAATAGTTTTTAAACAAGAGGGATGTTCCATTACGGCGTGGGTTCGAGTCATTTTAGTGAACTGCTAAACACACACGACGTCTTAAGCAACACTAAATGATAATTAGAGTCAATCAATCATTAACATTATGTTTATCTAACATATTATTGACGTAATGGCGACTAATTTGAAGTGCAATCGAAATAATTATATGTTGATTACGTGCTTGTTAATACGCCTGGGCTTTATTATGTGTAGGCGGAGATTGAGAGCATTGATTATTCACTTGATGATTTTCGTAATTGAATTTTGATATAGATTCTTTTTTTTTTCAATTATTCAGATTTAAATTTAAATTGAACTTAATAATAAACTGGTCACATCGCTATTTAACATTAGAATTCTGTGTCCGAACATGGTCAACAAAAGACATTCTATACCACCTATGATAAAAACGACCATTGGAAAGTATTCAAAATTCGAAACTAAGTATGACGTTTTAGTTTTCAAGCATCGAGTACCAAAAGTAGAGACGAAATGTCATTTAATTTGTCTGTTGTTGAAAACTATTCTGCCATATCATTACGGTGACAACTGTGCTCCGATTGGCCAGCACGAATTCGAAACAATTGATGGGTGTTGTCAATTGCTTCACTTCAAACCGACCGGTTTAACTTGAGCTTTGCTATAATGGACGAAAATTGAAAAATTACATATTTGATATTTAATTACCGATAAAATGTGATTCCGTTTGTTTTGTAATTAGATGTTTTGCTGTTTTTTCCAAACCCTGAATGGAACAGTCCCTTATAGTTAGAAATACAATAAATGCATAATATTTTTGGAATATACGGAGGCGCACACACGGGTCAGTCGTTGGCGCTGTACTATTTCAGCTTTCTAATTTGTGATTTCGGCGCAAACGAGAGTTGATATTTAAAAGTGATATAAGGCCCATTTGCCTAATGAGTTGACAGGGATGGATGGTCCTTGTTTCGTCTCTATTTCTGGTTATACACTCGATGTTTCCAAGTGACTGTTTAAATCGCAATGATGTGAGGGACAAGTCCACGTGCCTGTAGTTTCACGCACCCTCACCCTTCAAAACCGGAACGCGGTGTTGCTCACTTTACTGCCTGGCGGCAGAAATAGGTAAGGTAGTAGTATTTCCCTGGACGAACTCATTCCCAAGAAACTCCACTGCTACTAAAGTGAGTTTACAGCAATTATACAAGATAACAACTTTTCAGGAAAGAACTTTAAAGATTCTACTAACGAAATTAATTGTGTTTAAATAACACACACACACACACACACACACACACACACACACATTTTAAATTTAGTTTTGACTTTAAGTTTTAATGTTCAATTTCTAATTAAATTCATTCTAATTTGTTTCTCTCTTACAATGTTTGATATTCTCTTAGTAATGCCATAAGATAGTTTGTTTCATCCCCAAGGGTGAGGATTTGGTGACTTGTAGTACAGGTGTTAAGCCTTTAACAAGCACTAGCTCCTTCAAAAAAATAAATTACTGAGCACCTTCTGTACGTGTTGTTGTAGAGAAATAAACATATTATTGTTATTATAAAACTTCACACACACATAATTTGTTTCATGTAACTAGTTTGTATTATTTTTATGGTTTTCGTGTGATAAAAGCACTTTAGACACTTTCACATGTACGCACTTTATTATGGCAAGGGTATGATTTATTTGGATAAGTTTTCTTAAGTTGCGTAAGTTATGAAAATAACGGTGAACTCGTTTCTGAATAATACTGACTCATATTGGAAAGCACGCCGACTATTTATCCCGTTAGGTGGCGCTTGATCGCTGGTGCTATTGGACTGTTCCCAGACAATGGCACATCTTTTGTCCTACCCTGCGTGTCCCTACACCCGCGCACCCAAGGACCTGTACAACGCCACTGATAAAGCTGTTTCAGTCACTAAGAACTGGTCCTCACAAATATAAACGTCAGAGTCGACACGCAGAAGAAGAAGATTGGACTGTCAAGCTCCGTATATTAGGTATATATTTTTTAGTAATATTAAACGACGGGACGAACAGGTTGTGTGCCTGATGATAAGCTACGCGCCTGTCCACAACAGTTGCAGTGCTTATCAGAGATTTAAACCGCATAGATCTGAAGGGCACTGCCACTGCGCCCGTCACCCTGAGGCATAAGTCGCAAGTCCCATGTGCCTGTAATTTCACCAGCACTCACACCCTTCAAAACCGGAATACAGTAATGCTGACATTACAGCTTGGAGGCTGAAGTAGGAGAGGTGGCAGTATTGCCTTGGACGTACTCTTACTACGTACTGTACTACAAGGAGCTCTACTGCTACTAAAAATACAAGAAAATTGTACTAACAAATATCTTTAAGTAGCGCAACTCTATGTCCAAAATAAAGGAGTATACCGTTTCTCCATCAAAACGAAAGGAAGAAAGCGGTGGATCAATGTGTTACGCAGAAAAAATTGGACACCAAGAAAAGAAATCCAAAGCAGAATAGCCAAACTTCCTGGTTAATTCCAAGGAGGGCAATGTTTAAGACTTCAAAGTACAACATCAATGGTAAATGATGACAAGCGCCAACTATAGTGGCGCCATCTGAGATTAGCTTTTTCTGTGACTCGTTATTGCCAAAGTTAAATGTGACAAATCGAACGAATTCAAACGAATATCAATCGTGTTAGATTTTTTCGATTGTGACATATCAGAAGTGAATCTATTTTTTTCGGATCTAAAATGGCGTGTATTTGTTATTCTGCAATAACTATGGGACCAGCAAAGAGTCTGAAACGTCGGTTTGTTGATAACGTTTAAACAAACTGCATAAATCAGGTGTACCACTTCGTATTCCACCGTCATGTGTTGCACAGCGTCGTAACACTCGTATTAAAATAGTTTTCACATGACCCTGTTAGGGCGCCCACAGTGG